TAACTGGTCGCGGACTTGAGTATTGACTACCGTGTCAACATCTGTCGATGCGAAACTACACAGTTCCACTTTCTCTCTCAGCCGACTCATGAAGGTTGAAACCGATTCGTCCGGCAGCTGCCTAATCTGACGAAACTTGTGCCGCTCCGACGTCGCATTGATGGACGGTCGAAAATGGCAACGAAGTGACTCAGTGAGGGCTTTGTAAGTGTCTCCCGGGTTATCGTCAGTTGCATCGTCTGGAACGGGAACGACTAAACCTTTGACGATCCTCCTGACATTGAGACCGGCGAGATTCAAGAAAAGGCACTTCTTGTCTCCTGGGTCCGTCACTTGGCAGATCTTCATATAATCATCGACATCTTCTAGCCAGAGATTGAAGTCTGCGCCCGTATCTCCACCATAGCCAGGAGAAAATTCTTTCGGAGGTCGTCCCTTTGCCATAGCGTCAAGTTGCTTGAGCTGTTCACTGCGCCAGTGTAGTGAGCTGGCCAGAATGTAATGATTACTGGAATGACAAGAGACTATAACATACAGCAGTGTGAATGTAGCACATCATGAAGGTGTGAGTACGACACATGCAGTGATGTGTAGAATGCAACATATGACAGCTAGGTGGTGTAAGAACAACGCAGTCACTATCACTACATACGGTGCTGGCCAATTCGGCACTAGCACCCCGAAGAGAAAATACAACAGTACAATACGCATAGCAGATTTAGGCGCACAATGCGCAAATATGGAGTTCATTAGATTATTCTCGCGATTCGCGACACTCCCGGGCGAAAGAAGCAAACAAAAGAAAAGAAAGCTAGCGGAAGGGCAATTAAATTGCAGACGCAGTCGACAAATCTGGGAAGACCAAATAATTATACGATCATAGAAAGAAAATAAAGTACATAACTAACTCACAGTGCATCATCATCCCTCAGCCTACGAACCATATTCTGGAATTTCTGAGCAGCAGCGTGGCGTGGCCTGGCTGGTGGTGTGACGGATGCGTCGTTGTGAGTAGCAGCTGGTTCATGAGTGACGGAGACTTGACTGGCATCACTAGCTACTTCGATAGGATACAAGTGGGAAACTGGGCGACGGACCTTTTGGATTTGGATTGGATTTTTATTTATAGTGATGGCTATAACAGACAATTGCCTAATAACAATAGACCCACTCGAGGGAAAGATGCAAAAAGATATGAATAATTAATATAATGGACTACCAGACCTGTTTCTGAGACGCAAGCTGCACAGTCGATGATCTCACCATACTATCTTGGCTGTCATGAATATCCACCACTCTGCCCAGCCTCCATGTCCCTCTTGGCATGACGCTCTCCTTAACCAGTACAACACTGTTCACACGCGGCTCCGCATTCTCGCTTCTCTTGGCTGGAGCACTAAGTGGGCATTCTCGTAGGCTGGTAAGACACTGCTGGCCTGGCTTGCAAATTATAATTAGAGCTAGATACAAGAAATTCTGTGTCATCATGTACATTAGTATCAAGAAAATGGGGAACACGAGATAACAATGGAGGGATAAGAAATGAGCTGGTGTGAGAGGATCCCCCACCCCCCAGAACTCGTCAGCAGGTGGCCTGGTGTTCAAAACAGCTGTGGTATCGATGCCAAAGGGTGCGCATTCTGGCTGAATATCTGTGATCAGAGTGTCATCTTCTGCAACATACTCTTCAAACTCATCAGGAGTGGGTGTGGTCAACCGTACAGGATCCTCCCCCAAAACTCGCTAGTCGGCATATCCAAGAAGTCAGAATGAGTGCACTGAGGGTCAGGAACGTCATGGACCATGAGTGTGGACTCGTCGGGTTGGACCTCCAAGTGGGGAACCTTTCCTGTGCAGATGAAACCTAGCTTAGTGTCCAGGAGAATCAGGCCATCTGGGAAGTGGGTGCAATCTGTCAGCACAAAGTCAAGTAGAAATCTGTCCCAACCAGAATGTCAATCTCGATATGTTCGCGAGTGAGTAGGCGCTTGAGCGACGGATGTGTCTGGGTATCCAGCGGAGTCTTCAGAATAGGACAACAGATCTAGCTTTTCACCCATTTCATCAGTAGTTACATTTACACCCGTGATGCACCACAGTGCTTCCAACATGCATTGAATCAACTTTATGCCGATGATATCACACTCTATATCAGGCACAAGTCCATCCACATCATCACAACCCAGCTGAGTGCTGACCTTGCCGCTCTGGATCGCTACCTAGATCAGAAGGGACTGGTGTTAAACCCGTCCAAGACTCAGTTTGTCCTGCTCAGGCGACCGGGCAAGGAGCTGCCACCTGGCACCGCAGTCAACTGCCGGGGCACTTCCATAGTCCCATCTGCTTACGCTCGGTACTTAGGAATACTGGTTGACGAACATCTGTCTTTCTCAACCCAAGAGGATGCAGTATGCGCAAATGTCAATCGGAAGGTCGGAGCATTTGTCCATGCAAAGCAGAATATCAGCATTTTTGGCAAACGACTTTTCTATTTATCAATCATTCAGTCCACATTTGAGTTTGGCAGCACTGCTTATATTCATTGCTTATCGCAAACCTTTATGTCAAGCTTCTTTCTGCCAGCCGCGTAGCATTAAAGAGAATATTTTCGTTGGATAGAATGACTCCCACCACTCTTCTATACAGTCATACTAACTTGTACGACCTTGTGAAACGCCTCAACTTCAAAACCTATGTCTTTGTTTACCGCTGCCTAGATGGACTTCCTAGTCCTCTTCTGCGAGACCGCTTTACCTTGCGCGTCCATGGTGCTCGCACTGCAGCCACCACCCGTGGCCAAGTCTCTGCTGCTCTTGTTCTGCCCCCCGCTAACACCCGATATGGCTTTAGTGCACTTTCTTATTTGGGCGCTGCCAGGTGAAATACACTTCCACTGGCTTGCCGCATGTCTAGTTCACCAGCTGAATTTCACTCATCCATCAAATTATACCTAGGGTTCCCTGTAAAAAGGCGCTCACGCCTGTTGGGAATTACCTAGTAAAAGAAGAATAAATAATAATGAGAGAGCTTGGAAGCTCAGGGACCTACGCTATGCTTTTTTGCCTTGATGATCTACACAAAAAAAAGTATAGGGATGTTATAAATTCTTTAAAAAAATTCTAAGCATAACCTGGGATTCGAACCCGCACTATTGCGCGCCCTGCATGCAACCCCCGATACACTTCGCATACATACTAATTCTTCCAAGTTGTTTCACATTGTGATCTTGCATTTGAAAGCCCTATTTGAATATGCATTGTGGCCAGCCGTCTTTGATGGCACGGTACGGTAGGGGATAGGTACGGGACAGGTACGATCGAGGGTAATACGACACCGTCTCCCGTACCGTACCGTCCCATCAAACACAGCTGGCCACATACAGCTGCCCGCAATATTCAAATAGGGCTTTCAAACGCAAGATAATAACGTGAAGCAACTTGGAAGAATGGGTATGAATGCGAAGTGTATGGGGGAATGCATGTAGGGCGATAGTGCGGGTTCGAATCCCAGGATATGCCTAAAAAAAAATAGGAGATTTGAAAAATTTATAACATCCTATGCTTTTTTGCCGTCAGATACGGATGGCGCCAGGCGTGACACAAACAAACACACAAACAAACGCCCAAATACCAAATTAAAGCTGTGTGGACCCTGGCTAGCGCCAAACGTTACTGAAGTAACGTCTTCTGCATAGCTACGGGAATAAATAACGAGAGAGCTTGGAAGCTCAGGGCCCTACGCAATGCTTTTTTGCCTTGATGACCTAGACAAAAAAAGCATACGGATGTCATAAATTCATATAAATTTTCCCTTTTTTTTTAAGACAAAACCTGGGATTCGAACCCGCACTATCGCCGTGCATGCATCCCCCGATACACTTCGCATACAAACTAATTCTTCCAAGTTGCTTCACGTTATGATCTTGCATTTGAAAGCCCTATTTGAATATGCATTGTGGCCAGCCATATTTGATAGCATGGGGACAGGTACGGGACAGGTACGGTCGAGGGTAATACGACACCGTCTACCGCCTTGATGACCTAGGCAAAAAAAGCATAGAGATGTTATAAATTTTTCAATTCTTCTATTTTTTTAGCATAACCTGGGATTAGAACCCGCACTATCGCCCTACATGCATTCCCCATACACTTCGCATTCATACTCATTCGACCAAGTTGCTTCACGTTATGATCTTGCGTTTGAAAGCCCTATTTGAATATTGCGCCCAGCTGTCTGTGGCCAGCTGTGTTTGATGGTACGGTGCGGTACGGGACAGATACGGGATAGCGCCAGGCGTGACACAAACACACAAACACACAAACACACAAACACACAAACACCAAATTAAAGCTGTGTGGACCCTGGCTAGCGCCAGACGTTACTGAAGTAACGTCTTCTGCATAGCTACGGGAATAATAATAATAATGCATGGACGACTGTTTGTTACTCATGTGATACTATTCCACTCATTCTGGGATTCTATCACCATTTTGTCGAAGTGGGCGAAGAAGCGTTCGGCTGAATCGCTCCGTGAGACCATTCGACAGTGGATAATAAGCACTGCTGAATTTTGTTTTACCTCCATGTCCTTGCACAGCAGCTCGTTCCCGTTGCTCACAAATTCTCCTGCTCTTGTAGCAGTTGAACACTTTTGTGTGGGGTAGCGCTTTTGCTGTTTGCGTTATGCAGAGCTCACTGACTTAACAGTTGGAGCACTCTGACAGGGTATGTTCGTGCCTGCTTTAATTAAATAATTAGGGTTTTGGAAAATGTACTTTTCATTGCCATAAGGTTTGGCCTCATTTCCTCTGTGCTGCGCTCATGAGTCCACAAAGGACGAAACAGGTCTATCCGCAGATTGAGTATTTACCTCTGGTATTGTGACTGTGAAAAAAACATGAAGTTTCAGGGAGATGTGATGCAGCAAAGTAAAAAAAACCAAAAATCATACCCCTGGGGTCCGTTTGGACCCCACAACCCAGAATGAGGGTTCAACTTACAGCACTGAAAGGCGTGGTAGGTTGGCAAACACATTTGTAGGAAGGCTTGCAAGTTGATTATATTCCAGGTGTCTACAAAGGGAGAGGAAAAAGTTCATTAAGAATATTTGCGAATATTTGGGTTCAGCGATGGCCGCTAACAATCGGGGCGGTAAACCTTTATAGGAGGAGTAGAACACAAGTCAGGGATCTGAAAAGAATTGCATGAAAGCAAGAATGTGATAAGTAAATTGGAACCGGCTAATTCAAGACCTGAATTATGTTTTAAAGTGCATAGGCCGGATCATCCGTGGTCGTGAGAATGCAGACTTTCTACAGAACTGCCTTACGTGCTGCGTTGCGCCTCGCTCCACCAAGAAGCGGGTGCAGACGGTTAAAGACAAGAAGCCATGGAGAATCGAACGCGCCTTTATCAAGGACGAACTGGAGAGGACCACCGCTGGCATGGAACACTTTCTCCTTGAGTACCGCCGTGTTTTTCACGAAGTCAATCGGAGCATCAGTGTGCTGGACCGCTTCAGGTTCACCAAGCTCCTCAAGATTACAATGCCGGATCAAAAGTAAGTTTGACGATGCACTCAGGAGGGAGGTGCGCTATAAGAAGGGCTCAAACGAATTAAAACACGCCCATCTACTCAACTTGGAGTGGTGATAATGCAGCAAAGTGATTACAATGACAAGATGAATGCTATTCTGGCCGATGCATCGAAGTTTCAACACCTGGGACCGACCGAAACGCATGACCGCACTCACCTTGATGAACGCGCCCTGCAGGCATACCTATTGCGATACAAGAAGGCTGGAAAAATACTCAATATAGATTACAACCGGATCCGACCCGTTGGCTCGTGCCGACCTGTCCTCTACGGCGTGCCGAAAGTACATAAGAAAGACGTGCCCCTTAGACCTACCCTGTCGATGATCAATGCTCCCCAACACGAAATGGCCAAGTGGCTAGCCGAATTGCTAAAGCCAGTCCTGAACAAATATTCCGCCCACACAACCAGGGATACCTTCGAGTTGTTGTTTCAAATCTTTATTCTCACGATAGCCAGTGGCCAATAAGAGATAATAGTGTAAGAAAGGAGAAAGAGTGAGGAAGAATTGGGTGGGCAGGGCCTAGGGGTTAATGACTACTTAAGTGTACGGGCAGGGATGGTCGCTACACGAGCATACAGAGTTGTGCAACAGCAGGGATATCTCGGATTTGAAGGGAGTACGAGAAGGGATTTCGCGAAGCTGGGCGGGCAAGCAATTAAAGTAATGAAGGGCCTTGTACGTTGTTGTTGTTGTTTATTTTACTTCACCAAATGAACAGGCAGAGATGCGTTCGCACCTGCCCATAGGACAGGTTCTCACAGAATGATGAAGGGATGATACGCAAGGGAAAACATGGTTCTAGCCAGGTCAATATAGTAGGGGGCGGGCATGGGAAAAAGTTACCCCATGACCCATTTTTTCCATTGTCCAAAATTATCTTGCCATGCAAAATGCAACATACAGGGTGAACCCCGACTTCACTCCTCACAAATGTGCCTTTATGAACCCTCTAGTAGTGACTATCGACTGTATTTTCGTTGAATGGTGTGAAAAAACACAAAAATGGGAAATGATTAGGGGGGAGCACTTTTTCACAGGGGGGCGCGCAAACGGAGTAAGGGGGTGCTGTGCCCCCCTACTCCCCTTTGGCTAGAAATCTGGAAAACAAGAAATGATAATATTAAATATAAGACAGAAAGGACCAAAAGAAGAAAAGGAAAATATTATATGACGACAATTTCATGGAGTCAGAAATAGAAAGACAATAATTTTATTGAGTCAAAGAATATAAAGACAATTTCATGGAGTCGGGAATACGTGGTTGATGTTATAGTCATGCATGCAAAAATGATTGATAGATGAGAAGGCTGGAGTTTATGGCAGATAATAAAGGTATAACGAGGATATTCACAAGGTAAGTATATCAATGGCAGAAACAGCTTTTCGGAAGGGACCAGGGACACCTATCACTCTGAAATCAGAGGGGAGAGCGTTCCAGAGAATGCTTCCCCGAAACATCATGGTCGATCGTCCCGCAGGCCCACGAAGAAAGGGAACTTGAAGCAAGTTCGACACTTGTCCCCGTGTGTGGCGCTGATCCTCCGGAACAGTCCCTGGGGCCGTTCGGGTGAATAATTGGTGAAGAAGGGAGCTACAGGAGGAGTAAATGCATCGATACCCGTCTACACAACGATGCGTTCGTTCACGGTGTTGAAGGACGTCCTACCAACCCATCATTTAAGTCATGTAATCTACAACTTTGAATGCCGGAATTGTGCTAGCCGGTATGTTGGTAGGACTGTTCAGCACCTGAGCGAAGGCATCAAGCAACACACTCCTTTACACATTATCCCACGCAGCGCACAACTGGAGCGTCCCACGCGGGGAAGACCCCGTAAACAACCACTACCCCCGCCAACACAGGAGCTAACGTCCCACTTGGCAAGTCCATCATTGGCTCCCGTGGCCATGACCAAGTCACTCCCTCCACCAGCGGAGGTGGATGTGGCTTTGGCGACGCCACGTGTGTTGCATGCAGACACATTTGCGTCATCATCGCTTGCTGCATCACCGGCAGAGACGACAGCAATACCTACCTCAATATCAATGAGACCCAGAAGAACAACTGCGAATTACACCTTGACCTATTTCAGTACGGAAGTACAGAGCCAACGGAATGCACAACAGGAGCGTGAGACAAGGGATGGGAGGAGACGAGACCTGATTGCTCCAAGGCAGGACGCCGTTGAGGAGGATTCGGCCAGTGAGTCCAGTGAGTCCGGTGAGTGTGAGAGCGAGAATGATTGTGTGAGTAAGAGTGGGTGCGAGCGTGTGTTTTCTAGTAGGAAGTCATCAGTGTATAAGCATCTTGTATCACGTCCTGATTGCTGCAAGGTTTATTCTGATTCTTCTTTTTCTGTTTTGTGCCGTGCTCGTCATGGTTATAAGTTGCAGTTGAGTGTGTTAGAAGCTGTTTGTCAACGTATTCATAAGCCTAATCTGTGTGTCCAGAAGGACAGCATTATTCTTTTGAAATTGTTCTAGTAGCAGCTTGTTCTGTCTGTTTGGCCCTGGTTGGCCATGGTGTCATATCTTGTGTCACAGTATACTAGTAGTCTTTACAAGTTCGTTAAGTGCTTTCGCAGTTTTTCCTGTTATTACCTTAGTGCTAGGATTATCATTTTCATAGGTGTTGTTTAGTATCTTTCTGGATTGTTTTTCATTAGTACAACGTACCTTCCTGAGGAGTGTTGTGCGAACACTAGTTCGAAATACGATTTTTTGTTCATCATTTTCTCCATATCACATTTTTTCTTTCCTCCATGTTCTTCACTGCCTTCGTATCCACTCGTTTTTTGAATACAATAAAAACTAGGGGTGAAAGTGTGCATGCAAAACTCGAGTACGAGTACTCTATTTTTTTCCGATCGAGTATTCGAGTATACGACTATTGCCTGCACTGTCACTTTCCCCATTTCCAGCATCACGCCACATGCCACGGTTCACTTGTCCGCATGCACACACATTACGTACATACATGGATCACGTGTTCACGCACTCACGCCCGACCTCAATAACAATAGCCTTGAATAGGGCACAAATGTGCAGTATTATCAGATGTGATATCAATCATATCAATCATAATATTATCATCGATATGTGACGGTGAAATTCTCACAACAGCCAACCCTAGAAGGCAACCAAGAGCCACTAGTCAAAAATAAATTGAAACTAAAAGAAGTACACACAATCAGTGATTCTGAGCTCCACTGAGGAGACTAAACGCGTTCAAACAGCCAGCTGCTCAGAAGTTAATTAAATAAATGAATAAAGAAAGAAAGAACTGATGGAACATCATGATACGCACTGGCTGCAACTATCTGTCTACAGGTCAGGCAAAGGAGGCAAGTCATCGGCTTCTTCCTCTGCAAACCTCTCAAGCCGTGGCATCAACTGCTGGACCGCCACAGGGGCAGCAGTTCTTGCTGCCTGAAGACCACTGTTTGCATGAAGGAAGACGAGTGCATCAACGTTCTCGTGCGTTAGACTTGCTCGTAGTTTGCTGACAATGATGCCAGCCGCTGAAAATACTCGCTCCGACGGCACAGAGGTGGCAGGTATGCACAGCACGCGCTTTGCCAACCTTGCCATGGTGGGAAACCTGTCCGCATTCGTCCTCCACCAATCGAGTGGGTCCACAGATGAGCCTACTTGTTTCTCCGTGAAGAATTGGGTTACCTCCACCTCACCATCCGATGCTGCCGATGAAGTTGTGGATGGCTCGACGCTAGGGCACGTGAAGAACAACGACATGTCCTCTTCCATAGGTCGCTTGGCAGGTGGCTCCAGAATACATTCGTCATCAGAGCTGCTCCCATCACTGTCGGCAGTGATTTGAGCACACACCCGGCGAACAATCTCTGACTTCAACTCGTCCTTGTCTTCGTCACTGTCCAAGAATCCGAGGCTCCGTGACCTGGGATCCAGTGCTGCAGATACAGATGGCAGCGAGATTGGGTCAAATGGATCGAGGGAAAACTTCACCTCGATTTCCATCGCCAGTGATTTCCGGAAATCCGCAGCCGATGCCGAGAGTTCTTCATTCGCAATACGAAGACCACGTAGCAAAGACTTGGCCACCGGCACCACCAACGTCTGTGTACAGTAGGTTTCCCCACCAAGAACAGTGGTAGCCTTTGCTGGTGCCTCCAGTGCTGCCACTATCTCCTTGGCGAGATTCCACTGGTGGTCCTTCAACTGCAGGTGCCGATGGGAGCTCTTGGTCAGCTCGGGGTCTTCCAAAACCGCCATGATTGGCAGCCTCAGGTGAATCAGGCGCTGGAGCATCAGAAAGGAGCTGTTCCATCGCGTTGGAACATCCTGAATGACTCGTAGAGGAGTGCCAGACTTGCTACCTGACGCCATAGCTACTTGCTTCTTGTTGAGCGCCTCTGTGCTCTTGGCACTGTGGCTGAAGTGGCCAACAAGTTGCCTGGAAGAAGCCAGCAGTTTCGTGACAGGCCTTGATGCTGTTATAGCATGCCTGATGCAGGTTTGCAACCGATGGGCAGCGCAAGCTTGGTAATCCCAGTGATGTTGGCTGCGAAGAAGTCTGCTGGCTGCCATCTGGTTTGGTGCTTCATCATGGACTAAGCACTGCACAGTGTCATGCGCAATGTTGAATCTGCTAAGAACTGCTTCTGTGCTGGCAGCAAGGTTTTCCGCTGTGTGACTCCCGTTGAAGCGCTTGGTCTCAAGAACGTGCGACACCAGTTTCCAGTCGTCCGTGACATAGTGGCTCGTGTACGTTACAAAGGAGACCACAGCCTTCGATGTCCACGCATCCGTTGTGATAGCAATTGATGTAGCACCTGCTAATTTTGTCACAAGCTCCTTTCGTGCAGCATCGTGCCGCCGACGCACCATGGATGCGATGGTCGTCCGTGAGGGAACGGTGAATGAAGGTTCCACGAAGGACAGCAATTGCCTGAACCCAGGATCGTTTACTATCCCAAGAGGACGCATATCAGCAGTGACCCAGTCGGCGATTAGCCCCCGAATCTGAGTTGACCTGGCCGAATTACAAGTTCTCTTCGAGTGCGATACTGCAAACGATTCCATTGGCTTTGTCCCAACCGTGGTACGTGTTGCTGCCGCTGCGCTGCGCTCGCTCGGCTCGCTGCCTTTCTCACTTTCCCTCTTCTCCTTGTAACTTTGGCATGTTAGCAGATGATTGGACAAGTTCGTTGTACCACCCGTATATTTGTATTTGCCCTGGCAATGTTTGCACAAGACTTGCTTTGACACAGGTTGGGAGAAGTGGTCCCAGACCTTCGATCTCTGACCGGTCTTTCGTGGTAAGCCAGCCCCGCTTGATGACGATGCTTGTTGCAACTCCATTTTTCGTCAGACAACACTACACTTCACTCAAGCCAACTACTGCAAACGAAAATCACTCAACTACGAAAGGAACTCTTGGATGTGACTGCGAGACCCACGAAGAAAACTGAAGGAGCAGCGACAGCTAGCACGTCTTCTCCGAGTTTCGCTACACGACTGTATTCACGGAGCCCTTCACATCTTTCGTTATGTAAACGGCTCCGTAGTACACGATTGACTCCCGCTCGATCCCACGCGCAGGGATTCCTGCTCAGCTCAACCGCGCAAACCGGTACGGTAGCTATCCGTAGTCGCGTGTACAGGAACTGCTCTCCTCCCAACCAAAACAGTTTTCCAGAACCTTTCCAGAACCAAAAGAAGTGCATGCCGCACTGCCCCTGACACTGGAAGCGAAAAGGTGAGAACTCAAACTGCATGCAGCATAGGACAACTTTGAACTAGGTACGCGGAGCGCCGCACTGACACTTGGCTACATGTACCACCAGACCATTTGGCAGCCGTATGCGGCATTGCGTGTTACTTTTAGCGAGAGTACGCTAGTAGGTCTACTAGTAGTACTAGTACTCTGCACGCCTTCTGCCAGGTCTGGGCTGTGCACGTAGGTCTACGAGTATGTGACTTGTGACCATGGTTGTAGACTGCATCCACAACAGTTGTCAACACTGTACATGCATGCATGCATGATCGAGTACTCGATTTTTTTCCGAGTACTCGATCGTTCAAAAAAAGCGATCGAGTACTCGAGTATTCGGTATAATCGTTTCACCCCTAATAAAAACCTTTGTGAAATGTCGGTTCAGCTCGTTCTGTTGATCGCAATTCTAAAACTATTGTCGCCTCGACGCCTAGCCTATTTACACATTCAACTTAGAACTTGTACTTTTTTTTCTTTTTTCCTTTTTTCTTTTTTCCTTTTTTCTTTTTTCTTTTTTTCTTCTTTTTTTCTGCTATGATAGGATTCGAACCCACGAACATATGATTAAAAAACAATGATAATTACCACACAAGCTATAGGGGCTTTGTTAGAGGTATACTGAACTAATGTGTATAAGTGGTCTGCATTGAACTCGGGGATCATTATTGCTCCAGGATGGAGAAACCCACGTAGGTGGGTTTGTTCAGCACCACTCTGCACTTGAAGAACTCCACCGCAACCAGATTGTTGTCGCATACGATACTGCCTTTGTACGTTGGCTTACAGATGGATTGGCGCAGTCTGCTCATCTCTTCCTCAGAGCGGATGAGTTTCACATTCAAACGGCGATGAACGTTCTCCATAGTCTTACCGAAGACGGCGTTGTTCACGAGTTTGTAGAAATCCTTTTCAAACTCTGATGTTGCGTTCTTGTGGAGATCAGTGTTCAGTTGGATGTATGGACGCATCCACGGACGTTGTGAGAAGCGGAGGATGCAATGGACGTTGGTCACTTCCATACCTAGAGCAACATAGGCAGCTGCAGGTTGACGTAATGACATACGTAGTGGGTTTTCGGTAGTAGAGTGAGCATCACTTTCGTCTCTTTCTCTTTGCTCAAGCCGAGCTCTTGCGCAAGTTGCTGCTGATGTGGCGGCAACATGTCATCCGTTACGACGATATTCTCTGGACAAGGGGGGTAGTCGTTCAGAGCATCGTGGAGGCTGGCGGGAATTGACAGATCGCATTCCACGATGTACCCCACGGAAGAATCGTTTTGATGCGTGATGGTTATAGCCTCCACGAGATCATCGCTGATGTCATCCACGAATCTGAAGTTGCTGGTAGGTAGGTGGTGCTGCATCGCCCAACCGTAGAGGTTGTTTGCATCGACGTACTGCAGGTACGATGTTGGCTGCGATGGGTTGTAGTCATCGGGGATGTTGCTGTTGTTGGCTTTGGCGTGCCTCAACACGTTCATGCTGATCCCACCACGAATGCCATGTTCGATGAAATTGTGCATCGTCGAATCTGAAATAAGATCTAGCTGGATTTTGGTTTCCTTTAGTAACGCACTCCACGCGAATCCGGGTTGCGTGTAATAGTTTGCAGGATCCAGCAAATATGTAGCGATCGCCGTGGTTCGAAAAGTTTTAAACACATCCGCTAGCAAGTAGGCGTCGGACATCAGATACAAATCATGGTAATCGCGTAGAGTGGTGCAGTTGAACTGATCCCACACCGTTCTAGCGTGCTCGTACTCCACGGCCGTGACACCTGCTCCAGACAACGATGAATAGAACTTCTCTCTTGGAGGAAGACTATCCTCTTCAAAGCGGTTGAAGGAATCCATATACTCATATGGATAAACACCTTTCCGAAGCGTGAAGATCCATCTTTTCAGAATCTTCACCATGCAGATCACGCATGTGAACGAATGCTTCTTTCGGTGTTGCCTTTGCAAGCTTCTCCAGCGAAGTGCTCAGAAACGCGAACGAGTCGATGAACACAAACTGCCTCCACATCATGGCGATGTACTTCTCCGTATTAGATTGTACAATGGTGATCTCCCCACGCTCCACGGTGTGCTTTTTCCTTCAGCATCCAGGTATGTTACTTGGTCTATCTTCGTCTTACCGAAGTGACGAACGATGTGATGAGCATCAAACCCTTTCAGGTTATGGAACACTACGGGAATGTGTACTTTAGCAGGTACGATGCGTAGCTGTAGGTTGCAGGACTTGTGCGCAGCTCCACGAAACGCACCCGTCATGTGATCATGATCGCGCACGCGATCCGACCCCAATCAATGGTCGCATATCCAACAGTTCACAGTGTTCCGGAAGCTGGTTTCCTCACCAGGTGTCAGGTTCATGGGATGGCGATTCTCCAAATCTTCACGAATGGATACTTCTTGCTGCTCCAGGGAGATTAGAAACTTCAATACTGCGTCTCCACCTGTATTTTGAAAAGTATCTGTCACGGTACCATCAATGCGTACGACGATGTACGCTGCAGAACACGGTACGTGCTCCGCGTTCTGCGTTGTACGATTTCCGACGTTCTTAGGCTGTGTGTATTGTACGATAAGACTCTCGAAATCAGCATAAATCACGTACGGGGTGCGGAGTTGCTTCTCATATTGCGTGAAGCGCAGCTACTCTCCCTTCTGCGGCATCACCGCCCGCGCAACAAGGTGATCTTTACAAAACATCTGGTGGTTCTCCAGAGCCGTCTGGCTGCTCAGCACATTCAAGCATCTGTAACACACCTTGCGTGGCAGGCAACTTTTGTTGGCTCTCAACCAACTCATATTTGTTGATAAAGACCCAATGTTGATCCTCACACTGATTTGCAGTTTCACCGGAAAACAGGAGTAGATTAATAGCCTCCTGCAGATCTCCTTTTCTCGTCAGTCGCAGTGGAACGACTGTCTTCCCGTCTTCCGATATACCAAAGACATTGATGGACAGATCCGCGTTGTTGCTTTCTAGCGTTGTGATGGCAGAGATACCTGCTGGGAACTCCACATCAGAAAAGTCCAGCTCATTGACGTACGGGACGTACTTACTCACACGGTTGTGGTTTGCACCAACATCTTCATGGTGCTTGGCGACCAACAGCGCCCACCTCAAGCATTGGTTATCGCTGTTGATGACGTTAATACAGGCTTTCTTAGCCTTTACAGTATGTGGTCGGGTGGGGGGGGGGGGGGGAGAGGGGTGAACGTCCTACCAACAATATAATTCCAAGTACACAGCCTCTACGTCATCGATGATCCAACCTGATCCGTTGCGCACAAACTCATCGATTTGAGCATCGATCTCCGCTGAATCATCATCCAATATATAACATACATCATCATCATTCAAGATGATGGATGTTCGCGCGCGAACGTGGAAGGTTATGTAAACCTTGTCGCCCGTAACACCATCCTGCTTCATCAGACGCAGCCGGAGGATGATTGCTAGTTTGTACCTACTAAACATGATGAGATCAGTATGAAGCAACTCGCTAATGCTCCTATCCATCAACCGCTGCAGTGCTGCGGATCCTGATACTCTCCAGGGCTAAAGTAGCACACATAATTCCGAAGAAGTCCTCTATTATGCAGGATTTCAAAATCGAAAACTTTGCTCACTCTTCTTGGCTCCATTATACACAATCGAAAACTTGCATCATTCGAAGTGGATGGGGTTCCATCAATTCCTGCACCTCCTTTTATCGGAGAAAAATGCGCCGGTTAGTAGCTCAACCGAAATGCTGGAATTCCTCGGAACAAGCTGGAACATGCTAAAATGTGTTGATGGTTCGGAAACCTTCTATTTGATTCCGAGAGCTTGTGTAGGGCGTACTACTCGGAGAAAAAGCGCGGGTTAGTAGCTCAACCAAACTGCTGGAATTTCCCGGAACAGGCTGGAACAGGATGAAACCTGTTCATGGTTCGGAAACCTTCTAGTTGATTCTGAGAACTTGCGTACGGCTGTACAATGATCTACTCTATATCAACACTTTACAAACGATGTGTACACTCAGCTGGTGTTGACGTTGTGTGGTGAAGATCTACGGTGCAAACGATGTGTACAAAGCTTGAGCTGCAACTCTTTTGACTTACGCTACGTACGCTGCGCCTACTAGTCTATAGTATGATTCCTACCAGTAATTCCCGTCAGTATTCGCGCGTTTCATGCTTTGATGTGTACGAGCTCACCTCGAATTGATTCGTATGAGCTGGTTCAAAAATGCCAAACCTATTGGGAGTATTGTGAGAAGGAGTAAAGTGCGCGAAAACTGGCAGAAATCATATCAGGTAACTGCCAACACTCCTTCGCTGCACCTCTAAGATTATAGTCTTTCCCCTTCCCTCTTGATCATACGAGTAGATATGTGGAAGCTAATGGTGACAGTGGATGGTTCTTGACAATCGATCTTCCTGCGATTGAATAAAAAAATACGTACGTAGTTTTTTCTCTTGTTGTGTGAAGCACATTATATTATGTTCTAGTTATGTGGTGCATTATGCCTTTGCTCGTAATTCAACTATTTATTCGAACTACCTGACAATCAGAATGTGAATAATAATAGTATCCTTTCCTCCATCCGAATGTGATTACGAGTCTATCCTGCGAAATTGAAGACTTTGATGAGTAGAAGTAGAATGTACCTGTGCACATACTTGAACATGTAGAAAAGAGGATAGTGGCGAGTTAGTTGGCATGGTAATATTCTTGTGCAGTATCTACATGTAGGTGTTATTAGGACTATTGGGATTATTAGGACTATTGGGATTATTAGGGTTGTCGTGGTGATTGGGTTAGCGAGGGAGACTTGTAAGAATTATCCATAAAAAATACAATAATGATCCTCGAGTTGCATGCAGACCACTTATACACATTAGTTCAGTATACCTCTAACAAAGCCCCTATAGCTTGTGTGGTAAGTATCATTATGTTCGTGGGTTCGAATACCCTCATAGCAGAAAAAAGAAAGAAAAAAAAAGAAAAAAAAGTACAAGTTCTAAGTTGAATGTCATGCATTATTAGGGCTATAACAGTACGACTATTAGGGTTCTATTCGATGACGTCGCATGGTATCACATGACAATCAAGTTGATGACGTCATTATTCATCCTTCGTAGTGGGCTTGTTCTGTATCAATGACGTCAGACAGATCACCTGGATGACGTCATTGATACAGAACAAGCCCCCTCTTATCTACTCATGACGAATTGACGATGTGTGTAGATCTACTATGCAGTCATGTAGAACGTCGTATGATGCAATTTTTGGCCTCGTAATGCCTTATAATTCTCGTAATGCTCCGGGTGGTGTATAAAGCTCGGTATAATGCCGGGATTATTCGCTAACACCTATCTGAGAATATCAAAGTATGTGTGAAAGTGGATCTCTCCGATTACGGTCAACAATTTGCAGGTATGTTCTCTTTGGAGTGTACATCAATTGTGCAAAGCCCTTGAAAAAGTTCTGAAGGAAACCTTGAAACTTGCATAACCCTAAAAAATGGCCGAAATATCAAGTTATTTATGGGTCTACAAACGAGTCACGCCACAGCGTATACGAACAAGCTACGAACAAAACTCCATCAAGCCAACCTTGCCTCACGTTAGAAGAGTTCCGGGAGCAGTACCGCTTAGCCACGCAAGGATCCCAGAAGACGAGGGCCATCACCCCCTAACGCAACAAATGATCGTCTTGAAATAGCCAATTAACAAGCGCTGGGAAAACAGCCAGCTACGTCCTCCATTGGCAAGAATTATACTCCGACAGATAGTAGAACACCTTTTCTAGCGCTGGAGGCATGTACCCCATCTTCCTTTTGGGGTTTTCTTGATAGAAACCTTTTTAAACTTTTCCACTCGACCATGCTGAAGTACGGCCAAAGTCGTACGTGCCAAGGAAAGCTCGCCCCTCTGCAACGTCTTCTCAGCAATTTCTACTCCAAAACTTCTCCAAACGCCGCAGAAGAAAGTGTATTGTTGATTCTGACATGAAAAAGCAGCGGTGATCTCTTGTCACTCCACACGGCTGTCAAGAAGCGCAAACTTAGAAAGATGGCGTCGGTTCGAGATGGCATGGTAACCGTGCACGTGCCGTGGTCCGTGACTTGCTCATGTATGCACGAAAATGCAAGTCACACACTCACAAAGATCGCCTTTGCATTCGGAGAAAATATCTTCGGCTCTTGTTGGAGGTTGGCGAGGTTTGCCTAATCTTTACTTGATTGCGATGCCGGTATGTCCTCTCAATAATTAGAACAAAGAGAGCTGATGATCGCTTCATTGTTGAGTAGAAGTAACAATCAACTCTCCTCGGTGCCAAAGGCAGACGACTGCAATTCCACAACGCTCATTTCAGGATGATGGAAACAATAATCGTGCACACACGTGGACCATTCCGTCATCCCTATTCTAGCCGATAGTCCACCCAGCAAGCAGATATTGACTAAAAAGATAAGGACAACTGCGGGAACGAGGGATCGCCCAGCAAATACACTTCAAGTCTTGACTCCAGTCGAGAATTAGGGTCTTACTCGAGAACTTCAACACTACAGAACTGGTAGATGGCACGAACGAGCCGGGCCAGGGAGGATGCTCGGGTTCAACTTGCTATCGTTTCAAAGAAGTTGCATGGCGACAACGAGGAACTGCGTCGCCCGCTGGATCGAACAGTCCGGGCCAGAGAAAACACCCGAGAGGAACAAGAAGCAGCCGAAATATGAAGTATAAGCTCTATGTTGGCAAATGAGCAGAACAAGAAAGGAAGATTGGTGGAGGAAAAAGTCTCGGCGCTAAGAATTGATAGCCAGAATGGTTTTGGTTTTCCGAGATGCAGAACCTCTGACGGAAATCACAACCGCCATTGACAGCAACCGAACCGCAAGGTGCTGGTTACACCGAGATGCGGGATTGCCGGTCATCCGATATGGTCTATCTGCTGGGCCGTTCACCGGGCGAACAAGAGGCCGTTCCAGAACGGCATGAAGCGCAAGTGTTGTTGGATGGCGGATCTCTTCACCTGAGGAAGTGGAGGAGTAACAGCAATGCAGTTCTCGAGCCTATTCCGGAAGAGGACCGAGCACCCGACCCGATTGAGGTCTGGACCTGTGAAATCGCTGGCAGTCTCGTGCAGTGTCAAGGACCAGACCTTCACCTTCTCCTACCATCCTCCGGAATGACTTCTTCAGACCAAGCGGACGATTCTGGCTAAGATGCACAGGATACTCAACACTATCGGACAGATATTGCAAATTTCCATTCCCGCCAGGAACATGTTCCAAGATCTTTGCCTGCTAGGACTTCACGATACTAGAAACAATTATAATTGTCCTTGTACACGCTAAAAAACCCAAAGGAGAATCAGCTTGAAGACCAATTCACGCCTCCATTGTTGTTTTCTCAGAAATTTCGAGTCCAAGCTTAACAGTGTAGTTAAACCCTCATTCCATGTTAACTTTTTTACTACGTTACCAATTTATTGGGGTCCTTTTGCACCCCAATAAACTGGGAGTGTAGGAAAAAGGCAACATGGAATGAGGGATTATGCCTGTAGAAGAACATTTTCTTGTAGGGCCTCATACGTCAGTGGATGTCATCCATCTATTCGGTGACCATGGAGATAAATACCAAAACTATCGCAATTGTTGCACCTTCCTGTGTTCTATGTTACTGGGGTCCATTTGGACCCTGCCCGAATTTTCCGTAATAAAAGTGAAACCAATCATGAACCCAAAACTATGTATTCATCTCGGTTATGCCGTTTTCGTTATGCAGAGCTAACTTACTTCCTCCGCGTCATCGAAATTGTTGCAGTTTGACTAGTGATTTGTCACTTGTTACTGACAACTCCACAAGCTAAACCATACAAAATTACTACACAGCATGATAGTCTGAAGGCTAGAGTAACGTTCCAGGACAGTTTCACTGAGAGATTTCACCCAGAGATGAAGGCCTCGTTGTCGCAGATGTCAATGGACGCAAAAATATCGTTCCGAAATATTTCAAGGAAGGTTGTAAGTTAGTTGGTTGCGCCTCATCTCAAACGCTTTGACTTTCCCCACAGGACAAGAGCAGCTATGATTGTCGTCTGCTAGTTCTGGATGATTTCTACTTCACCACCAACAAAATAATTCAAGTAAAGCTATCTGGTTCGGCCTCATTTTCTCTGTTCTGCACAGAAAAGTCCACAAAGGACGAAACAGGTCTGGAACAGGTCTGTGTGCAGATTGAGTATTTCGCTCCTGCTCTTGTAGCAGTTGAGCACTCTTGTGTTGGGTAGTGCCTTTGCCGGTTGCGTTATGCAGAGCTCACTGACTTGTCAGTTTGAGCACTCTGGCAAGGTACGTTCGGGCCTTGTTTATATAGGGCTTTGGAAAATTAAGGTTTTAATTGCCATCAGTGTTGGCCTCATTTCCTCTGTGCTGCGCTGATGAGTCCACAAAGGACGAAACAGGTCTGTCCACTGATTGAGGATTTTGCTCCTGCTCTTGTAGCAGTTGAGCACTCTTGTGTGGGGCAGCGGTTTTGCCATTCGCGTTCACTGACTTGTCAGTTTCAGAACTCTGACAGAGTACGTTCGGGCCTGGTTAATTAAATAGGGATTTGGAGAATTTACTTTTCAGTGCCATTAGGTTTGGCCTGGTTTCCTCTGTGCTGCGCTCATGAGCCCACAAAGGACGAAACAGGTCTGACCGCAGATTGAGTATTTATCTCGGGTATTGTGTTGTTGAGGAATACATGAAGTTTCAGGGAGATGTGATGCAGTAAAGTAAAACTATTTCAAAAATCATTCCCCTGGGGTCCGTTTGGACCCAACAACCCGGAATAAGGGTTAACTTACAGAGTCGAAAGGCGTGATAGGTTGGCAAATACATTTGTAGGAAGGCTTGCAAGTTGATTATGGCTCAGGTTTCTACAAAGGGAGAGCAGAAAAAACCAGTAAGAATATTTGCGAATATTTGGGTTCAGCGATGGCCGCTGACATACCAGGCGGTAACCCGTAATAGGAGGAGTAGAACAAAATCCACGTAATGAAAACAATTGCATGAAAGCAAGAATGTGATAAGTAAATTGGAACCCTACTCAAACACAGCAAATTCAATGAAGCGAGTACTGTCATAGAATAAGTATGCCATACACTCTCAGTAGTATGACAGAAAAGAAACATGCTAAGAGAAATGGCATAATGTACTTGTACCTAACACTATCACACTCCAGCACACCACAGGAAATGACTGCATCCTACCCTCGGCCATCTCCAAGGTGCGAAAGGCATTTTTAGGGCGATGTTAAGTGGAGCGCGCTCTTCTCACGCACATGTGTTTCGCGAAGTACCGCAAAGGATAGCTGACATTGCAGGTAAGACATCACTTGCCCATAAGGTTTGCCGTCATGCTTCGCCAACATGCCACGCAAGCGCTTAAGAAACATTCGTGGGATGTTCTGCCACCCGTGGAAAAGACAAGCGGAGTAAATTTCCCACGGTGATCATGCACAATAGACAACCTTAGCAAAAAACGATATGTTGTAACGGTATTATCGTACGGGGGAAAATACCGTGATTTGGGTTCGACCTTTAGCAAGATGCACGCTATGTTTAGTACGCTGTTGCCACGAGAGTAGCTTTGATTTCGCGCGGTACAACCATTTTTGTCACCATATACGCGATACAAGGTGAAATGCGTACGGACTATGCAATATTTGGTCAAAACACGTACCGTTGGTCACAACGATAAATCAGCCCCCATAACGTTTCTACGCTGCAGCTTCAACGCTATTTGGGTGATCAAGGTACGAGTACCGTAAAAAAATAGCGCTACCGTTGTTTGCTAAGGGTGTCTATTCTCTTCATTGTACTGCAATTTCTTCTGCCTCTCGTGTTGCAGGAAAAACGCTGAAATATTCCTACTAGCACATGGAGCTGCATCTGGATGGAACACTAGTGCATCGATAGAATTTAATACGTTTTGCGCACGAGTCCAAAACCCTCATACTCGAAGTACGTGAATGGCCGACCTTGTGTCACTTGCTGTGATTGTACTGGCTGCAGTGAATACTTCACCCTGAAAGGGAGCTAACAAAGGTTCAATCGTTACATCAGGCCAAACTATAGCTAGCAAATCAGCAAAGATGTCACACACTTCGTAATATTATTATAACATTGTTCCTGACGGTGGGGAAGCCCCCCCCCCCCCCCCCCCCCCCGTCGGAAAGCACATGGCATGTGCTGGAGTGAAATCCTTGCAACATACAAACGTTAATGGTACATCTTTCAGAGGCCGTCCATACCTCAATGCAATGGCATCGCGGAAGTCACAACTCGACAGGCTGAAACCATGCTCCTTCAAGGGAAGAATATTCAGCCAGCCAGAGACACCCTTGGCGGAAAGATGCTCAAGCTGGCGAACAGTTGATGCATCTGGCATCCTACGCACGTCAGCACATCGCAGGTTATCGATTTCCACGCGACGTTTTGCAGCAGCAGCTTTGGCAAGCTTGGCGGAATTACAGGCCAGTTCAATAGAAACCGATGGAGATGACGCTTCTTTACAGTCGGTTTGTGATTGAAGGAACTCGAACAAGATTATAAGATCATAATAAAAACAAGGCATTTATTTTTATTATATATATTTTATTACTTGCATGTACGCGTTGGAGTCAACCATGCAAGCATGATCCACAACTTCGCTTATGCTGAACCTGATAAACAGGACTATGACAGGAGAAAGAAATTGAGCTAGAACGATGATATATATAAGTTTCCGTGCATGGCACGGTAAGTGGAGTTAGCAACACACCAACATCCTTGCCATAAGCAACACTTGTACATGCATAACATGCATGCACTCCGAATTCCCGCGTCTCCGCACGGGACTGTGCGCAGCATGCGCATTACTCCAATTCGCCATGCTGTTGTTTCTTGCTCTTCGCTTTGCTGTGCTGACGATCAAATTGTTTGACTATCGCGGCCAGTTTCTGATCAATATCCGATCAACCATGTCTCTGCCAGTGAGCGATGTCCAGCCAAAACGCTCTTTGCTGCGCTGACGCAGTGACAGTCAAATTGTTTGACAATCGCGGCCAGTTTCTGATCAATATCCGATCCGAATCATGTCTCTGTCAGTGAGCGATGTCCAGCCAAAACGCTCTTTGCTTTGCTGCGCTGACGCCGAGTGACGGTCAAATTGCTTGACAATCGCGACCAGTTTCTGATCAATATCCGATCAACCATGTCTCTGTCAGTGAGTGATGTCCAGCCATAACGCTCTTTGCGTTGCTGCGTTGACGGTCAAATTGTTTGACGATCACGGCCAGTTTCTGATCAATATCCGATCAACCATGTCTCTGTCAGTGAGCGATGTCCAGCCAAAATGCGCTCGGCTCAGCTGCGAAACGCACTGGCATCCCGCAATTATTTAGACCCGAGCGGAACAAAACCTACTCCGCAGACTCGCCTGCTCGAGTTGAAGTTGGTTCCAGACTATTGTACGCGAGGACTTGGCCGATCCGGCAGCGGAGAAGAACCTAGCCGAGGCAACTGCAGCCCCATCCCTGGGAGACTTTTGTCGGGAGGAGGTTCGCGCTGCAGCTCCAGCCGTGCTGACAACCCACACGCCGGCGCCTCCGATCCAAGCTCCGCGCAACGTTCGTGCGGCGCGGGAGCTCTCCCACGCACGGCAGGGCCCTCTGCCTGCGTTGGCTGTCGCCACGGCCACCTCAACCGCCGCAGGTAAGAAAACCTTTTATGCTACGGTGCCGAAACCCGTTCATGATAAGGTAGTGACTGGCCAGTCGTTGACACTGATTTGGTTCCTTATTGCCAAGTGACTAGTCAGTCCCAAGGGGACACCAGCCGTAGCGTTTTACAACGTGGCCACTACAGCTCCTACGGCCCAGCCCAGTGGTTCTGGCACCTGTAAGCGGGCAATTCAGTCCAGGAGAGTCGAGGACATTGGCGCCTTTCTCGACGCTTGCACCACGGATTGTGCGACTTACGCAGCAGCACACCTCTCCCGGGCCCCGGAGCTGTTTTCGTACCAGCCCATAATCTTGAAGATGGCTCGGAAATTTAGGCTCCAGGCTGTGTACGAGTACGATCAATCACTTCGCCCCCGTTTCGTAATATCCGATGCTCTGGCATTGGCATTGTGCCCAAGACGTCTGGTGGTGTGCGCCTCATCATGCACCTACCTGCTCCTAGCGGCTCTGGCATTGATGACGGCCGTTCCTTTGACGCGCTCCCCATACATTATGTCACTGTGAACGGCGCAATACACTGCATTTCCCAACACAGTCCCCGAGCTCTCCTCTCTAAAGCTGACACGAAGTATGCCTGGCAGCTTTGGCCTGTTTCCCCTCATGTCTGGCCCTGGCTTGGCATTTTTGGGAAGGTTCGTACCATGTAGATAAGGCACCACCATTTGGCCTTAGATCCTCCCCCTTCTGTTCAACAGACCGGCTGATGTGGACTCTCAGCCCAACGGCGACTCTGCAATGATCCTGCTAAGTCTCTTACTCGTCTTCGAGTACAGCGCTTCCGGACTCTCAGCCCATCTGCCGACACAGTGCTGACACACCCTGCACAGTCCACCTTCCAGCAGTTGACGACACAACCATGGACCTCATCCGCCAGGGCCTGGCGGACAGCTCCAACATGACATGCGCTTCGCTGCCGCGCTCCGAACGCTTGTCGCCCTGCGCCAGGGCAAGCCACACTCGGGGACTGATCAGTGCTGGCAGCATTGTTCCAGATCCTGTACTTTGAGTGCATTGCCCACTATGCTAATGGCCAGCCACATTGGACGGCACTCACATCAATTGCAGTGTAATAGTAATGCAGATAAATCCTGTTTGGATCCGGTTGTCAGCGCTGCCGGACTCGCATCCCAACTGCCGAAGTGGTGCCAACACGACCAGCGCAGTCCACCCTCCATCAGTTGATGACGCAACCATGGACCTCATCCGCCAGGGCCTGGCGGACAGCTCCTGCACGACATACGCTTCGCTGCAGCGCTCCGGACGCTTGTCGCCCTGAACTAGGGTAAGCCATACCCAGTGACTGATCAGGGCCAGCAGCATTGTTCCAGATCCGGTACGTTGAGCGCATTGCCCACTATGCTAATGGGCAGCCGCATTGGACGGCACTCACATCAATTGCAGTGTAATAGTAATGCAGATAAATCCTGTTTGGGTCAGGTTGTCGGCGCTTCCGGACTCGCAGCCCAACTGCCGACGCAGTGCCGACACAACCAGCGCAGTCCACCCTTCAGCAGTTGACGACGCAACCATGGACTTCATCCGCCAGGGCCTGGCGGACAGCTCCAGCACGACATACGCTTCGCTGCAGCGCTCCGGACGTTTGTCGCCCCCGCACCAGGGCAAGCCACACCCAGGGACTGATCAGTGCCAGCAGCGTTGTTCCAGATCCGGTACTTAGAGCGCATTGCCCACTTTGCTAACGGGCAGCCGCATTGGACGGCGCTCGCATCAATTGCTGTAAATAGTAATGCCGATAAATCCTGTTTGGGTCATGTTGTATTTTTGGGAGAACAGTAAGGATCGTGAGTCAGGCCGGCATTGAGCCAAGTGCGCCTATATTCGCTCACAAGTGCATCCTTTAAGCCATCCCGTAAGGGAGAACAGTAGGGATCGTGGGTCAGGCCGGCATTGAGCCAAGTGCGCCTACATTCGCCCACAAGTGCATCCCTACTGCATGCTCGTGTATTGACACATCTGAATTCAACAGTAGGGATCGTGGGTCAGGCCGGCATTGAGCCAACTGCGCCTACATTCGCCCACAAGTGCATCCCTACTGCATGCTCATGTATTGACACATCTGAATTCAACAGTAGGGATCGTGGGTCAGGCCGGCATTGAGCCAAGTGCGCCTACATTCGCCCACAAGTGCATCCCTACTGCATGCTCGTGTATTGACCCATCTGAATTCAACAGTAGGGGTCGTGGGTCAGGCCGGCATTGAGCCAAGTGCGCCTACATTCTCCCACAAGTGCATCCCTACTGCATGCTCGTGTATTGACACGTCTGAATTCTCGCCGGGCAATTGTTGCCCCAGTTAGTGTCGGCATTGGCCATACTAACGCACAGCGGTGCTTGCAATACTAGCTCTGGCATTGGACCAGAATATTGCATATTGTATGCGGCAATTGTTGCCTATCTCCTGGTAATACAACGCGTAGTAGCTCCCAAACAGGTCGGCTTGTTGTGTGGTTGGTAAAATGATATAATTATCATATACAATGTAGCTCATGGGTATTGAAGATATGTCATTTATGAATATGTCTATAATAATAATAATAGTTACAGTTCGCATGTCACTCATGGAAGGATCCATGGGCTTAAAGCATCTGTCAACGAAATCCAGGCAGAAGAGCCGACAAAAGGCATCTCATTATTGTTAGAACGTATCGCAGTAAGAACAACTACGCAATACTATATTCCTATTATGTCATTGAATATTGCAGCCCGAGTGATAATAATAGTGCTATTTCCTGAGTTTGACTGTTTCAGGACCTGTCGGAATATCACGATGCACAGATCTTCATACATAGATCTCGCCATGCGGGTCGGTCATGGGCAATGGCTTGCAGGCTCTGCAGAGCGTCTAAGTTCCCGAGCAATCCGGCATTGGCTTGGCGCAGATCTCCCACCAATGCCTGCGGCAGGGTCGTCCGCGGTCTACCCCTCCAGCATTTCTATTGCTGATTGGCGAAATACGCGAACATAGCCATAACAGCTGGGGATTCATCTGCCATCCGCAGGATGTGGCCAAACAGCCTCCAGCGTGATCTCTTGACCATGACACTCAAGGGTTCAGCTTCGCATCTGGCATAGAGAGCATCATTCGGTATTATTTGTGGCCATTTCACACCGATGAGTGACCTTAGCTGACGGCGGTGGAAGGAATCCAGGCGAGACAGAACGGTCACACTGACCCCCCACATACCCGAGTTGTACGTCAGTACTGGAATAATAAAAGTGTTGTACAGCCGCAGACGCAACTTCTCGCTGATGTGCTGATGCCTCTTCCAGAGGCTCCATAGGGACTGAAATGCTGCAGTCGCCAGCTGTTTTCGTCGCATAATATCCTCTTCGTCGCCCAGCAGCGAACCCAGCTTGCGCGTTGTCCTCCACTCTTCATCGATCCTGTCCGCACTTCTGAAGATGTCTGTATACTCAGTTTTGTCCCGGTTCATGATTAGGGACCACTGTGGTAGCACCGTGCTGGCAGTCGCCTCCACATCCGCCAGCCAGGACTTTAAGGTGCTGACAAAGTCTGCATCATCCGCATATACAAGTTCGAGCGGCAGACCGTTGTCCGTGAGAGGTCTTGCTGGCACCTCTTGTCTTAGTTGTTGAGAACAAGGCATACTTGCCCAATATTGACCACTTATTCGATATCGTTCAGGGTAGCTCCTATATCACCAAGCTTGACTTGCGCGCGGAATGCAATCAAATTGGAACCCGCCAAGAAGACGTACCAAAGACGGCGATAAACACCACACTTGGATATTTCAATATCCGTGTAATAGGATTTGGTTTAACAAACGCTCCTGCAGTCTTCCAGGCCCTGATGAATGATGTATTCCGACCCTGTTTACGCCAGTTCATTGTGGTGTTTCTCGACGACTTCCTGGTCTTTAGCAGAGACAAAGGACCAGACCTTCACCTTCTCCAACCATCCTCCAAAACGACTTCTTCAGACCAAGCGGACGGTTCTGGCTAAGATGCGCAGCATACTCAACCCTTTCGGACAGATATCGCCAATTACCATTGGCGTCAGGAACATGTTCCAAGATCTTTGCCTGCTAGGAGTGAGTTGGAACGACCAAGTACCCAGGAACATGTTCCGAGATCTTTGCCTGCTAGGAGTGGGTTGGAATGACCAAGTACCCAGGAACATGTTCCAAGATCTTTGCATGCTAGGAGTGGGTTGGAACGACCAAGTACCCAGGAACATGTTCCAAGATCTTTGCCTGCTAGGAGTGGGTTGGAACGACCAACTACCCAGGAAGGAAGTGCAGAGGTGGATTCGTTGGTTTGTGGAGCTACCGAAGCTCGAAATAATCAAAGTCAATCAATGCTTCAAGGACAGCGCACGGCCTGCTTTCGAGGCAAAGCTCACTCTGCATACGTCCACAGATGCAACACACCATGGCATTGCCGCAGCCAGCCATATCCAAGTTGAGTACCCAGAGGGAGACATTAAGGTGACTTTGGCATTTGCCATAGCACGTGCAGCGCCCATGAAGAAGGTTACCATCCCCAGGCTCGAGCTTCCTGGTGCGGCCTTCGGAGTACATGTGAGTGCTGTAGTTGGAAAAGCACTCGGTATTCCGGTCAAGGAGCACGTTTTCTGGACTGACTCCCAGAACATTCTGTGTTGGATCAGATCACACTCCAAGGACCCAGCCTGCAAGGTCATCCGCGGCAAGAAGGCCTGTGACCTGGCTGTAGAGGACGCTTGGTGGCGGGGATCCTAATTCGTGAGGAAGTCGCCGGAGAACTGGCCACTCACGGAGCTCCACAGGCCAGTAGAGCTACCCATTGAGTTGAAAAGGAAGGTGGTGATGACGTACGCGACCCGACTAGTGGACGGCCCAGTGCATCTTTCCCGCCAGATAATGTGGTGGAGAGAGTCAGACTTGAAAAAGCTGCAAGTCAGGACCCCAGCTCTCACATCTCCGCAACCTTGCACGGACATGTGTAACAGTTCTCACCTCATGCCCAGCACCTGAGGTACACACTACGCTTATTACCAGCTTTCACTCTTATTTGTCATATATAACGTGTTGGGTTGATGAAGTTGATTATTCCTTGGAAACGGCCTTTCCGCTACAATGGTAGCTTTGAGGATGGTTGTCCTCAACTTGTGCAATATCTTGGTCAATGTCGTCCTACAAGCCATCGTTTCCCTGATAATGTATGCCAGCTACTTGCAATGCGCTGTGGGACACGCGCGACTGCGTCTCCAGCTCTTCAGCCTTCAGCTAACGCATGCCAGTGCAGCCTACGTCTGCTCCCCCTCTCTTAGGCCGGGGTGGAGACTGCCGCTCGTGCTCTGAGCTGACCCCAGAGCCGCCATCTTCTCCCAACTTCAGGCTCAGAAACGTCAATGAACCTCCAGTCTTTCCTGCTCTTGTAGCAGTTGAGAACTTTTGTGTGGGGTAGAGCTTTTGCCATTTGTGTTATCCCGGAGCTCACTGACTTGTCAGTTTGAGCACTCTAAAAGGGAAGGTTCAGACCTGGTTTAATTAAATAGGGCTTTGGAAAATGTATTTTTCACTGTGACCAGGTTTGGCCTCATTTCCTCTGCGCTGCGCTCACAAGTCCACAAAAGACCAAACAGGTCTCTCCGCAGATTGAGTATTTACCTCGGGTAATGTGTCTGTCCACGACACCAAACATCACGTCACGTACAAGCTCGCAGCCAGATGGGCGGCATGTGTGCCCGAAATAGGTCAGTTTGCGTATCTTGACCCTGGCTAGCAGCTGTCTCTGTACTCCCAACTCCACCAGGATACCATCTGGCTGCGAGCTTGTACGTGACGTGATGTTTGGTGTCGTGGATGGTAAGAGAAAGCGTGGTCGTCCGAAGATTTCCTTTGCTGACAATATCGTTTAGTGGACTGGTATGTCTCTGCATGAGAATTGCCAGTTGGCATCTGACAGAGATGCCTGGCAGTCGCACTGTGCATCTACTGCTTACACAGCTGCATAATGTCGTTTATTAAAATTATTATTTTAAATTTTTACAAGAGGTCGGAGGCGGATAATACTTTAATAACGAAGGTAGGTGTTGGGTTGTAAGTATCCACGCAAACACACATCCAGTCAAAATAAGGCACTTGTCAAATTATCCGAACGTTTTCGGTCCCTTCTCATCAAGGATTTTACAGGGAATGGCTCAAGTTGGAAAGACTAAAACTTATATAACGTAAAGATATGAGATAACAACACTCGTGACAAGGTGGAAAATTATCAAGTTCAGCACGACACAAAACTCGAAGGAAATAATAATAGTGACAAGAACATAGTGAGCAAATTAAGTTGCATTGTTAACACCTCGACGAGGAGTAACACCAAACAATTGTAGCGACAACACATTTTCTTTCTGTACGCAAATTTCAGGATCTAACTTACGGATATACAACGCTTCTAACACAGCCAGATGCAACGCACATCTACCACGTGACAATATTGAGAACACATTATCACTGTACAACTCGCGACAATTGGTCAGTTATGGAACGAGTTTTTTGCATGGTTGTTGTAGACTCCAAAGGTACCTACTTGCAAAATTTGAGCGAAATCGGAGAGATGGCCCAGCCCAGCTTTCATGGTTTTCCTCAGAGATGCTCTCTTAAGAGGTTCGGCAAATCATGTTGCATTTTTCAGCGTACCAAGAGTGGACAGCCTAGGTATGGTTTGCTTCAATCCCTCTCAATACAAGACAAACCTTTGAAGGACATTTCAATGAATTTCATTTTTGGGTTGCCTGAGAGCATGTCTGAGAATACCAAAGTATGGGTGCAAGTGGAGCTCTTCGATTTGGGTCAAAATTTGCAGGTATGTTCTCTTTGGGGTGTAGATCAATTGTGCAAACCCCATCTTCCTTCCGCCCCTCTGCAGCGTCTCCTCAGGAATTTCTACTCCAACACTACTCCCAACGCCGCAGAAGAAAGGGTATTGCTGACTCTGACAAGAAAAAGCAGCGATGATCACTTGTCACTCCAGACGACAAGCTTCTTCTTGCGCCACCAATACTTTTTTGTGCGACTGTTGATGCTAAAGTGACTGAAGTCCTGATCACAGTTTTTGAATTATTTTGCAAGATGCACGGTGAGATCGCGTGCTCTGTGACGTAGAATGACGCTTCCTGGATCACGACACGCGGCCATCGATCGTGATCGTTCCTTGAACGCTACTCGGAACAGACCGTGATCTGGTGATGGCTGAGGTAAGAAGCGCTGCATTTCCTGTCCTGGTCAGGACATTTCCTGTCATTGGCAGGACATAGAAGAAGAGGAGGCGAGGAAGAAGAAGTCTGCTGGACCAGTCTTTGTCTCAGGCGCTCAAGCACCATATCCATGCCGACTCACCTACTTCAGATCTATCATTTTGCCTGAATTTTTTTATTTTTTTATTAGTTACTACCCGTATTTGACAGTTGCTCAGGAACAACGGCTACATAGGCTGTTCAAACGTGCCGCTCGGGCTGTCTACAAGTCGCCACCGTGGACCAGTACTGCTCCCCTGCTAAATCGAATACATCTATGTGATCTACAGGTTTCCGTGCACTTGAATATGTTTTGTTTCATCTGGCGATGTTTGCATGATGCATGTAGCACCCTATTTCAGTCCTTTTTTGCTGTCTTGCCCTCAACTCGCACTCGAGGAGACCAAAGCAAATCGCTTGTGGTCCCACCTGCTAGCACTGCTTGTTCTGCTAAGCGCCTAACGCACGCTGGCGCATTATGTGGAATAGATTTCCCCTAGCAGCAAAATGTTAAAATAGGTATTTGGATTTCAAATCTCGAGCCTTGCAGTATACATTATCAGCGACTTACGTTTTCCAATGCCCACTGGATTGATATCTGTTCGTTGCAACCAACCTTCCGTTTTCTTTTCTTTCTCTTATATCTACTTTTCCACAATATCCTTTCACATTTTTATTCACAGTGGGTCCAATGTTATTAGGCATTTTGCCTGTTTTGATTTCCACTATAAATATAATAATTATACATACATACATGCACATAATATGAGGGCTGTACCACGAAGCTCCAGCCTAGGGATGGTAACCTTCTTAATGGGCGCTGCGTGTGCTATGGCGAATGCCAAAGTCACCTTGATGTCTCCCTCTGGGTACTCAATCCGGATATAGCTGGCTGAAGCAGGGCGTGTGCTGCCCTTGAAGCATCGGTTGACTTTGATTTTGCCAAAGTTTCGGTAGCTCCGCAAACCAACGAATCCGCCTCCGCCCTTCCTTCCTGGGTGGGCTAAGCAGGTTAATCGTTCCAGCCCACTCCTAGCAGGCAAAGATCTAGGAACCTGTTCCTGGCGCGAATGGTAATTGGCGTTATCTGTCCGATACGGTTGAGTATGCTGCACATCTTAGCCAGAACCGTCCGCTTGGTCTGAAGAAGTCATTCCAGAGGATGGCAGAAGAAGGTGAAGGTCTGGTCTTTGACTCTGCATGAGACTCCCAGCGACTTCTTAGCTCCAGACGTCAATCCCATCTTGTCTGATTCGAGTGCCACCATCGGGTCTGGTGCTCGATCCTCTTCCGGAATAGACTCGAGAACTGCATTGCTGTTACTCCTCCACTTCCTCAGGTGAAGAGATCCGCCATCCAGCAACACTTGCG